TGAACTTTTAAATATTTGATGTAATTGAACTTGAATGTCTGTGAGCTGCTGAGTTGCTGACTAGACTAACTTCCTACTGCTTCCCGCTATTCCCTATCTGATTGCCCCACCCATCTCATCAATTACTGTCACCGTAACATTGAAGACAGTATTTTCCCTCTATACTATCGAACCGAGGGAAAAGATATCTACCGGTAGTAGGCACATGCAAAAATGAACAGATTTGGTTCACAGGGTTCTGAAATATGACTTTGAACGAACGAATGGACGGACGGACGGACGGAGAGCAAAATACTCTGTTCAAACTGGGACTAATTAATATTAATGAATTAGTTTAACATTATCATATCAGCAAGCGCCTAATAGGTGAGCAATTGTATTTTCATTTTTTATAAATATTTTTATAAGCAAATCGCTACAATCTTTTTTTTGAGGTCTATGCTAACAGAATATTATACCTTTACTCTAAAACTCGACTTAAATGTCAGAAGAAAATTCAGCAACTAAATTATTACTTTTTTAAAAGTTTTGACAGCCATTCTAGATTGGGTATAAATAATTCTTGAACCGGAAGTGGAGAACTGTTTTACTAAATGTAAGAACAAAAATAATTACCTTTCGATATTTTTGAGTCTGCTGAAGGCAGCTGTCAACTCTTTCAACAAGACGTTAGCTGATTTTGAACTGCTGCCTGACGATGTCATATTTTTAGTTGAGTGCAGACCACCAGAGGTTTATGGAGTCTATGAGTAAACCAAAACAAAGTGCAGTTCAGAGGTCACTTGCGGGTCACTGCTCCGTTTAAAATAACAGTTTTGTATAAAAAAATAACCTGTTTCACAGAAAAAGCGGCTGGTTTCGTTGTAATTTCTTTAGAAGACATTTCAGCAACTCCACACATGTTTACGTCTTCAAACACCCGCGCCGGAGTTTGTTTATTAGCTCATGTGTGTTTTCTCCACTGTCCTCGTACAAATAATCTTTTTGTCGCATCTTGTTTTGACAGAAAAGTGTATGTTTTCAAAATATCCAAAATTAAAAAGAAGTTTGAATTAATAATGTATGTGAATAAAGTAGTGTAAGTTAATATGAACAAGTGTGCTTCAAACGTCTTAGCCCAAGGATGACCTCCGTGTCCGAGTATAAAGCGCCATTTTGAAGTTTATTGAGCATGACAAAATTTGCCGGAGTGTGAGTTTCTTTGAGCGACAGGTCTGGATTACAGGGTGAAGGGAACACGACTCCGGATTTGGAAAATAAGTCGACACATGCCGTTTCAAGTGAAATATATGTTCGTACAGGTGATATTTTGAATGAATGACACTCGGAAATCATTGGCGTTTCCAGGGAATCGTTGAAAAAGTATCGGCGCAACTGAACAGGACATACAAATGTAATTTCTGAGCGGTGATCCCGGTGAAAAGAAGTCTCGGTTATCGATCGATTGGTTGTTGGCAACGGTCACGTTTGATCACTCCGCTTGGTTTTCTCGCGATAAAAACTAGTTATCAGTTTAAATTATTTTGTTATTATTATGTAAACTGTTGCAAAAAGGTTGCATGAGTTTCGAAATTGCGATATTTTGTGCCAAAACACCGGGTGTTTCGGTTTACATACAGGTACGGCGTTGTTAGAGACAGACTGTCCGATGTTCAATGAATGAACACATGATTGTGCATTTAGCACTTATGTAGACTGTCCTCGTCATCCAGGATTGATTGGTAAAATGAAGCCAGCCAAATTAGGATAAGTACATCTCTACGCAAACAGTTAGCTTGGTGGTTGGTATGAGTGTGAAAATCAAAACCGATCGCAACCTGACGGGGTAAGTTGAATCTCGTATATTAATATTGAAATCTAGACGTGCGTATATAATTATTAACACCTGTTACATGAATTAAATGAAAAAAAAAACAAAAAACAAACATATACGGGACTAAATTGCCATAAAACAACAAATAATGAGAGAAAAAAATAACATGATGGATGATGATGTTTTTCTCTTAATTTGTTTATTTAAAAAAAGCCCCAGCTTGTGCAGTGCTATATTTGTATATTATCTATTCCTTTTTTTTTATTAATTGACAATTCAAAAATTGCTGACATTACTGATATTTTATATATACATTTCTGTGTGTGAGTTGTCATATTTGTTGATGTTGTCATGCACAATACATTTATTTGTGTGGTGCCAGACCGAGAGGGTGAACATGTATTGTACGGTAAGTTGGATTGTATAATCTGTGTTTCTGTGGAGGGGAGGTATGAATGTTGTAATGTCCTGAAAAAATACGGCACCTAATGAAAAGAATGAACTTGTTTTATGAGTGCCATATGTATTTATCACCAACGGATATTAGGTTGTAAAAGACTAATGGTTTTTGAAGACGTTTCACCAATTTATTGGTCTGTGGTTATTGCAAGTATAGCATTGTTCAAAATATTGACATGAGCAGACATGTATTACATTTGACTACAGCCCTCTCGCCTTAAGAAGTGTGGGACACCTGCGAAGTGCATTGTAGTGTGCACCACCTCTGTTGTTCAGTAATTGCATTAATTTGTCATGCTCTGTGGCAGTGACTTTACTGTCGCAAACACTTACGAGCAAAGTACCATGAACTACCATCTATCATGAATTGGCAAGAATGAAATATTGTGAAATACAGTATTTGCTTCTGTTAGAAGGCATCTCATTTAGAAGTGCACTTAAACCAAACAAATCAATTTATTGAATGTACATTGTAAACTGGACCATGGGAATATGACTTTGGACCATAATGTACATACAGTAAACATA